TCACTCAAGCACACTTACACTCATTCACACAAACACAATCATGTAAACACACTTGCATACACACAGACACGGGAGCGTTTGGATACACACACACACACACATTCATGCTCAGATTCTTGCATACACTCAAACTGAAACTGCGCACACACATACACATCCACAAGTAGACATACTCTTCTCTTGCACACACACACACACACGCACACACACACACACACTTATGCATACACATATGCCCATACACACACATGCATGCACACTCACACACTGATTCATACATACATGCAACATACTTGTGCACTCATACACTCATGCACACACACACCCTCACACACACACACACACACACACACACACACACACACACACACACACACACACACACACACACACAGACCTCAGCTTTCCAACTCTATCCACCAGATGTATGTTTCTGTCAATGTTTTAAGTTTCTGACCCACACACACACACACACACACACACACACACACACACACACTGTGCTGACGTGTGCTCCAGATCATGACTCTGACTGTCAGAGGAGCAGACAGATGACACAGTAAAGAGTCTAGTGTTCAACAAATGTGTGTGTTCAGCTCCACAGACTGATCTGAGATCAGCGTTGAAACAGAAGATGAGCTGCAGCGTCCGTCACGTCTCAGCATTCAGACCTCAGTGTACTGAACTGAACTGACATTGGCTTGACTAAATCCAGACCAGTCAGAGATCTTGTTGTGTTTGTTTGAGCAGAGGAAAACAGATCTGCACACTCCAGTCGGAAGTTCAGTCGGTCTCCTGAACACCTCTGAGCTCTTATTGATGCTTTGGCAATTATGTAATCAGTGGGAGTGTCCTGTAGCTCCGCCTTCTCTGATGATTGATGATGGGTTTGTTGTGTCCTGTTTAATCTGGAAGTGTGGTAGTGGGCTCTGCTTTGAACATTTACACACACATTTACTCAGTCTTATATCCGGATTTTATAAATAATTCACCAACAAAGAAGTCCATCATAATTAAGATGCAAATTATACTGAACGAAAACAAACGTTTAATATTGCGTGTGTGACCCAGTCCTTTGGTTCGCTGCACTGCCGTCCTGTTCACCACACCTGTATGACGTTCACAACCAGCTGAAGTGAAACACGAGTGACGTCTCAGCTAAAGTAGAGGACATTTTCAGAGCTGTTCTCCTCTCTCTGTGACGTCATCGATGTGTTGTGCAGCGACATATTTATACGTGTCGGAGTGTTCAAATACAGTATACCATCACTCAGCCTTTTACAACTTCATTTGGACCCAAAAATGAAGAACACAAAGGACTTTCTGTGAAGTATACTGCGGGCTTAAGTGTGTGTGTGTGTGTGTGTGTGTGTGTGTGTGTGTGTGTGTGTGTGTTATTAATGCAGCAGTGCGTCTCATAAGCATCAGTCCACATGAGTCCAGGGCTGTATTTCAGTCCAGCTTTACACCCTTCACTCACTCACTCCCCTCAGATGTGCATCACTGATTACATCACACAAGTGTCCACTACTGGCGGAGCATCTGAATGTGTTTAATGAAGTGCCCTGAGCGCTGTAACACACTGGACTATGCTGCTGTGCAGGCCTGTAGTCAGCCTGGTGAAGGGGTGGTGTTTGTGCTATTTAGAAATTTGTTCTATTTAATTCTGAGGTCTAAATACTGCATTTTAGTGAGATTTTAAGCGCTATTTTCACAGGATTAGCTTGTCGGATGGTCCTCATAATTTATTAGGAAATTAAAAAAATCCTACTTTAATAATAATATTAATAGTAATAATGATGATGATGATTATTAAGTAGGATATTGTTTATTTATTTATTTTATTTTTTGTCTACTTTTACAATCTGACACATGCAAACCACTGCAGAAATGCTGAAACCAGCAGGCGCATGTCATATCCAGCACAGACACTTCATAAATAACCTGCTATAAATTAAAGCACTAGCGTATGCTGTGTTTTTAGTCTTCACAAGCTTTGGAGACGTGACATAAATTCCTCTTGTAAATAATAGCTCACCTACAGCTTTCGCCATGAGGCTGTGTTCAAAATGACATCAATGTTTTCAAAGTGCACTGCGAAGGGAGCTCAACTGTAAACATGAAGATCGCTAAAACTGAACTGTAGAAATACTTTAAAATAAAGTACAGCTGAGAGAGATGAGCTTACTGCTTTATTATTTAATCATTCCAACTGTAAATGTTAGAATGTTCTAAATTAATAGGGCATAGGGGGGATAAGTGGGATTAGAACACAGCCAGGAACTGTTTCTAACTACAGCTCCAGAGGTGTAGTTTCAAGTGCTCAAGTTTGCGACACAGTTTGCGAATGTTCGCTTGAACTATGGATTTGGGAAACGGCAAATCAACAAACTGTGTTTGTAACGATGGAACTTGTGACCGTGGTTGGCTAATGATGATTTTCGGAAACGCACCCCTGGGAGGCATCTTGCTGGGGGTGGCACAGAGAGACGGTGAAAAAAAAAAAGTCCCCTAGTAAAAGCTTTGAGATACCAATTACTTTAAGCAAGTGTGTTAATTAACAGTGGCAATCGCAGAATAAAGGCGATCACATTTGGCATCTTTTTCACGCGCTCGTTTGTTATTCTCTATGTGCAGCCGATGCTAGTGAAAGCAAACTGACACATGTGTACCGACAGCCAATATAGGATTCCACTTGGTCTTGAAGCCTTTTTAAGGGGTTATTTTCATTATTTATGATGGTATAGCAGTCAAAACAGGAAAATGAGCTCATGAATGGGACAAATTCAGGACGTTTGTCAGTGAGGGGTGGGTTCAAACCTCCCCTGGCTACAGGCCTTGTTGTGACATCACAATCGCATTGCGTTCTGGCAGACTCTCAGACATTCCCTCATTCACCTGCTGAAGTGGATCGCTCTTATGTCCACACGGGTATTTCAACAACGCCTTCTTCATCCACATGAAAACACAAAAATGTGATGCATGCTCGAGCTGTGTGTGGGTGTTTCCCTGTGCTGGGTTGCAGCTGGAAGGGTTGTGTGAGACATATGCCAGGTTGATTGGTGGTTCATTCCACTGTGGTTGCCCTTGATAAATCAGAGACTAAGCTGAAGGATAGTGAGTGATGCATGTTGAGAGCACGCTGAGCCAACAGGGGGCGATGAATGCTGAGTTCACCCCAATTGCAGAATGAACTATTTGCGTGAGGACACTGCATACAAATCAATGGAAATGTGAGAACAGTGGCCAATTATCGTCCTGTGATGGAAACGTATACGTTTGATGCAAACATGCAGAATTAGCCTTTGGTGTGAGGCCAGCCCTGTTGGCTAGTCGTGCTATTTGCGTGTAAATAGATGCGTGGACATTTTGAGTTTACTCACTTAATTTGCAGGTCAAATTCGCAATGGACACAGATTCTGACTTCTGTTTGCCCGTGGACTCGTTGCTGAATGTCTAACACGGATGTCAAACTCAATTCCTGGAGGGCCGAAGCCCTGCACAGTTTAATTCCAACCCTGCTCCAACACACTTACCTGTAGGTTTCAAACAAGCCTGAAGGAGTCAATGAGTTTGATCAGGTGTGTTTAATTAGGGTTGGAACTAAACTGTGCAGAGCTGCGGCCCTCCAGGAATTGAGCTTGACACCTGTGCTCTAACTTGTATTTTAATGAGAGATCATCTGTGTTTATGTGGTTTAGGAGGGCTAAAAAAAAGTGTCGACTCTTTGGATGGCGGAGGGGTGATGCGGACGAAAGTGAAAGTAAACCGCGGACAGGTGAGGAGTGCGGTTGAGGAGGGAGATTAATAAAATGAGGATCCGGATCCAGTGTGTTCCGGCATAAATTCAGTCCTGCTTTCAGCGACGCTTCTGATTGAGCCAAACGCGGTTTGATGAGCTGTTGTTCGGTGTTGGCAGGAGGATTTCCCCACGGGACACACACTGCAGGTGCTACGTTAGAATCAAAGCTCCTGATTGGTTAACGTGACGACAATGTCTGCAAAAGTTCAGATTTTCAACTTGAGCAATTCCCGTAAAACACGTTAAGCACGTCAAATGCACAAAACGATTAACTCGCGCCGCTTTATTCGCGCAAATCTCATCATTCGAGGCGTCTCATTCACACGTATCGCGCTGCAGGATGTCTTCGAGTGTTTGCATTGACTTAACATGTAAATCACTCGCGCTTGACACTTCATACACATCTGGTGTGAAGAGGGCATAAGGGTGTATTCACACTAGGCATGGTCGGCTTGAATCTAAAACACGGGGCGTCAGCGCCAACGCTTCCCATTCACTTTGACTGGGTGATCTCAGGCGTTGCCGAACTGCATTGTAGATCCGTCGACGCCGCTTCAGAGGTGTTGCTCGCTGCAGAAGTTGGGACTAGCTCAACTTCTCAAGCGCTGACGGAAGCATCAGCGAATCAGATCGCTGTATGCAAATACACCAGCTAGACAGTGGCCTATTGCTGACTGACTTTCATTGGCTGACGCTGCTATGACGATCGCTTCAGCCCCAACTTCAGACACGCCTCCAGTCAAGCGTTGATGCTGAAGCCCCGTGTGATTGGGCGTAATCCTCTGAGTCTATGCTGACATCATCTTCAGCAGCTCAAACACTGGCTAATGGACAGACGGCTGCTTCTCACTCAGGGCTGCTGTTTATGCTAATGAGGGAGACTAGTGGGCGGGGCTTTCCTTCTGATGACACGTACAAAAGAAGATTGTCAATCAAAGTGTTTTTCTGCAGACTGTGATTATAACAAAGTGAATGAATTACTGTTGAGCGTCTGCTGGAGAGACTCACACACCGCTGACACACTCAGCTCCGTATAAAAGTGATTTCTGCATATTAGGCCCCCTTTAAAAGTGGCCTGTTGTCTTTAGTTTCGCGCTCGGGTGCGCTCTGCACTTGGAGTGTCTAGGGAATCAGGATAAGGCAGGCAGACGCAGCCGGTCACGGTTTGCATCCTCTAGTGTATCTGCCAGTGCTGGTGTTCAGACGCTGGCGCAGCGGGAGCTCAGGGGCGGATTAGTGCAGTTCTGTGTTCCGCTCAGGATGTCGCAGCAGAGCGTCTCCACCGCGTCCAGCCGCTCGATCTGCAGCAGGCGCGCCAGCAGGTCAGGGATGCTGTATCCAGCGGTGCTGATGCGGTCGAACAGCTGCATCCCGTCCGTCATGCCGCCGATCTCGTCTCTCTTCAGCCCGAAGCTCTCCGCCAGGTGCCTCCACGTCTTCACCACCGCTTTATCTGTGCTGTAGGTGGCGCTGAGCATCCGGCTGCTGCGCTCCAGACAGTCGAACGGCAGCTCCGTCGGGCTCAGACCTGCACACAGCAATCAGCAGGCGATGTTTACATTCACCTTTAATTATGATCTCTCTCCCTGCCAGTGAGGAAACAACTCTTCAAGAGAAGACGCTTCCCTGCTGTCGAGTTTTTACGGCAAGCTGTGTTTTGTGTACATGTGCATCATGTATTATGATTGACTTATATATATAAATATCAAACATTTCATCAAAGATTTTATTGGGTTTTCCCCCCCAAATATTGGTAGAATAGAATATTGGTTCTTGCAACACACTCCAGGAGCAGTTTAGGGCTAGTAACCAGGTAAACTGCTGAATGTGATGTGAAATGGGAGGATTTGGTACAAATGCAGCATCAGGACAGCTCTAGTCCTTTATGAGCAGAGATGAGTCGAGGATCGCCAGTTTGAGCACAGATACGAGAGAAAATGAGTGAAGTGTGTAAACACAATGATCCTCAGAGGAAGAGAGTAGACATGTGGATATTTCACCTTCAACAGTGCAGAACAGCATTAAAGACTGAAGGAGTCTGGAGGAGTTTCAGTGCGTAAAGGACAAGAGTGCAAGCCTAAGCTGAACAACCGTGACCTCCGACCCCTCAGGGGGCGCTGCATCAAGAGTCCTCATTCATCTATAAGCCAGATCAGCACATGTGCTCAGGACTACTGCACTAAACCTTTGTCAAGCACCACGATACAGAGTCACATCCACAAACGCCAGTCAAAACTGTACTGTGCCAAGAGGAAGCCCTATGTTAACAGTGTCCAGAAGCGCTGTTGATTTCTCTGGGCTAGTACATAGACTGTGGAGACGTGTACTGTGCTCAGATGAAGCAGTGTTTTAGGGAGAAATGGAGGCTGTGTGCTCTGGACCAAAGAAGAAAAGGATCATTCAGACTGACACCAGCAACAAGTCCAGAAGCCCGGCTCTGTCATGGTCTGGGGTTGTGTCGGTGCTCTTGGTGAAGGTGACCTGCTCTTCTGTGATGCTCCATTAATGCTGAACAGCACAGAGAGATTCTGGAGCTCAATATGCTGCCTTCTGCTCCATACACGCCCATGCAGAGTCCAACAAGACCATGCAGAACCACACTCAGCTCACATTACAGAGTCCTGCTGCAGAGGAAGAGGAGACAGACGCTGGACTGGCCTGCCTGCAGTCCTGACCTGTCTCCAATAGAGAATGTGTGGAGCATTTCAAAGTGCAGAATGCTACAGTGAAGACCCCTGTACTGTTGCCCACCTTAAGACTAGTTTGCAGGAGGAATGGGACAGAATGACAGCTGAAACTCTTCAGCACTTGCCGTCTTCAGTCCCTAAACGTCTTTAAGTGTTGTGAAAAGGAACAGCAACAGAGCTAATGCTTCACAACTTTATTTGAAATGTTGCAAGAACCAAAATTGTTTTTCTAAACATGTTAATTTAGAAAACCCCCCACAAGGAACACATTAATAATGTTAGTTGAATTGTCTGCAATGTAATACAAGTCAAAGTAAATTTAGCCCGAACTACTTTCTTTTTTTATTTGAGTTTTCTTTGCTGTCCCGAATTTTTCTGATTTGGGGTTTGGAGTATTTAAAACTTTTTTCTTTCTTTAATAAAGAAATAATTGCTTAAATTCCCATTCGCATTATTGTAGCAGAGGTGTTGTCAGTGTTGTGTATGTGTCTCATTACCCCACACTCCTGCTCATAGCGGCAGTAACAGAGGAGCAGTTGTCTACTGGGTGTTTTACATCAGTATAATATCACTGCGCTGTACAGCTACACTCACCTTCCGCAACACTGCAGGCTTTTGTGTACAAATCCAGGATCTTTTTCCTTCTGCTGTGAATCTGCAGAAACAGGAAATGTTTGGATGAGTCACACAAACACAGACCGATGTGAATCCACATCACATGCAGAGCAGATGAATGCGAAGGTTTAAAGATGAAGGTAGAAGCAGAGCTGCAGCTCGTTTCCTCTGAATAAAGATTGATAAAGTTACTGCAACTTTCACTCTGATCTTCTTCTTGCAGTTCTGAGTTTATAGCTCACATTTCTCTGTGTACATCTCAAGAAGCTCAGTTCATGTCATGCATTTATTTCTCGCATTACTTTGTTTACATCTCAAACTTCTCAGTTTACATCATACATTAATGTTTGTCTCAGGTGACCGCTCACATTGCTCAGTTTATGTGTTTCTGTTTTTACGTCTCACGCTTCTTAGTTTGTCTCGTGTTTCTTAGTTTATACCTCAGATTTCTGTTTACACCTCACACTTCTCAGTTATGTCTCACCTGTCTTAGTTTACATCTTAGTATTTCTCAGTTTGTTTCTTTTCTCGGTTTACACCTTAGTATTTCTCAGTTACTTGCATTTTTTAGTTTGTCCCGCATTTTACAATTTCTTTCATTTCTCAGTTTACGTCTCGCATTTCTCAGTTATGTCTCACATTTCTGTTTACGTCTCGCATTTCTCAGTTTACGTCTCATTTCTCAGTTTACATTTTGCATTTTTTTGCATATTTTGCATACGTTTTTGCATATTTTAGTTTGTTGCACATTTTTCAGTGTTTACGTCTTGCACTTTCTCAGTTTGTCTTGCATTTCTCAGTTCACGTCTCTCATTTCTTGATTTACATCTTGCATTTCCCAGTTTCCGTGTTTACGTTGTGCATTTCTCAGTTTACATTTTAAGCCTTTTTAAGTTCACGTATTTCATTTCTCAGTTTACATCTTGCATTTCTCGATTTTACGATTTTTGCACATTTTTCAGTTTCAGTGTTTCTCACATTTCTCAGTTTACATCTTAGCCTTTCTCAGTTATGTCTCGCATTTTTGCTTGCGTCTCATTTCTCAGTTTACATTTTGCATTTTTCAGTTTACGTTTTTGCATATTTTAGTTTGTTGAATATTTTTCAGTTTCAGTGTTTACGTCTCGCATTTCTCAGTTTACGTCTCGCATTTTTCAGTTTACATCTTAGCCTTTCTCAGTTATGTCTTGCATTTCTCAGTTCACGTCTCTCATTTCTTGATTTACATCTCGCATTTCCCAGTTTCTGTGTTTACATCGTGCATTTCTCAGTTTATGTTCTTGCATATTTTAGTTTCTCACATTTCTCAGTTTACGTTTTTGCATATTTCAGTTTATGTCTCACATTTCTCAGTTCACGTCTCGCAGGTCTTAGTTTACATCTCACATTTTTCAGTTATGTCTTGCATTTCTTAGTTTATGTCTTACATTTCTAAATTTGACTCACATTTTTCAGTTTACATCTTCGCATTTCACAGTTTACACCGAATTTTTCAGTTACGTTTCACATTTCTTAGTTTGTCTCACAGTTCTCAATTCATCTCGCATTTCTCAGTTTACGTCTTGCATCTCTCAGTTTATGTTTTTGCATATTTTAGTTTGTCGCACATTTTTCAGTTTTAGTGTTTATGTCTCCCATATCTCAGTTCACGTCTTGCAGATCTTAGTTTACATCTCACATTTTTTCACTTATGTCTCTCATTTCTCAGTTCATGTCTCACATTTCTCAGTTTACATCTTTACATCTGAATCTACATCTAGCATTAATGGCTTCATTCTTACATTTCTGCACATCTTGTAAATCTCTGAGCTGTAAACTCAGAGCTAAACACAATATTAAACACTATCAGGATTTAGAATCGAGCATCTGAAGAAGTGGGCTGTGTGAGGTGTTGTACTGACCCCGGTGGCTCTGCTGCAGTGGTTGTTGTTGTTGTTGTTGATGGTGTTGGTGGTGCAGGATTTGTCTCTGGTCAGATGCACCAGTGAAAGAAGACAAAGATCTGCAGCTCCCTGTTTGTCCTGCGCTGCTTCTTCATCACTGTCGATACTGCGACTCAGCAGCTGCTCGTTTTCTGATGACGCGTCATTCTCACTGTGACAAAACAACATTTAATATTAATATCGGACAGAGCAATTCTGACTAATCCATGAACACACTACACAAAATCATTAGTAATGTTCTCTAGCTAGAGCGCCGTATGCTGTTATAAAGTATCCTAGAGCGCCCTCAGCTGTTAAACACTAGTCTAGAGCACCATCCGCTCTTATAAACATTAGCCTAGAGCGCTGTCGGCTATTATAAACTAGCCTAGAGCGCCATCTGCTGTTATAAACTAGCCTAGAGCGCCATCTGCTGTTATAAACTAGCCTAGAGCACCATCTGCTGTTAAACACTAGCCTAGAGCGCTGTTGGCTATTATAAACTAGCCTAGAGCGCCATCTGCTGTTATAAACTAGCCTAAAGTGCCATCTGCTGTTAAACACTAGCCTAGAGCGCTGTCTGCTATTGTAAACTAGCCTAGAGCGCCATCTGCTGTTATTAACTAGTCTAGAGCGCCATCTGCTGTTATAAACTAGCCTAGAGCGCCATCTGCTGTTATAAACTAGCCTAGAGCGCCCTCAGCTGTTAAACACAAGCCTAGAGCGCTGCCTGCTATTATAAACTAGCCTAGAGCACCATCTGCTGTTATAAACTAGTCTAGAGCACCGTCTGCTGTTATAAACTAGCCTAGAGCGCCCTCAGCTGTTAAACACTAGTCTAGAGCGCCCTCAGCTGTTAAACACTAGTCTAGAGCGCCATCTGCTGTTATAAATTAGCCTAGAGCAATGTCCGCTGTTATAAACACTAGCCTAGAGCGCCATCTGCTGTTATAAACTAGCCTAGAGCACCATCTGCTGTAATAAACTATCCTAGAGCGCCATCTGCTGTTATAAACCAGCCTAGAGCGCCATCTGCTGTTAAACACTAGTCTAGAGCTCCGTCTGCTGTAATAAACTATCCTAGAGCGCACTCAGCTGTTAAACACTAGTCTAGAGCACCATCTGCTGTTTTAAACTAGCCTAGAGCGATGTCCGCTGTTATAAACACTAGCCTAGAGTGCCATCTGCTGTTATGAACTATCCTAGAGCGCCCTCAGCTGTTAAACACTAGCCTAGAGCGCCGTCTACAGTTTAAAACGGAGCTCAGAGTGTGTACAGTCTGCATGGTTTCCTCTGCAGTGGATGTGAAAGGGCTGATGTAGATGTCTGCTCTCCTGCTTGTGGTTTACAGTAATATCCCTCATGCACTGACTAGTCTGTTGTTTTCAGCTCGCAGTGAAGTTTCCCAGAAGAGTTCCTAACAAGCGCCTGTTGACAAAGACGCTCAGAGACGAGCACAGAATGCCATTGTTTGCAGACACTCGATACCTGCGTGGGTTTGGCTCCGGGAGAACACATGAAATCACCCGCTTCACACTCCGACAAACAGCACACACAAACACACACACACACACACACACACACACACACACACACACACACACACACACACACACACTGCTGATGTATATATGATCATCTGGAGTAGATCTGAATCACTGCACTGAGCATTTATTCTCAGACACAACAATCAAACTCGCACTGCTGGGTTATCGTAACCCAATTTTAGGTCAAATATAGACAATCCAATAAGAAAGAGTTCAATTGTTTCTATTAAACTGTAATTATAGTCTTCAGATCAGGGGTGTCAAACTCATTTTAGCTCAGGGGCCACATGGAGGAAAATCTATTCCCAAGTGGGTCCGACGGGTAAAGTCATGGTAAATGCAGTGGTGTAGCGGACGGGCCCACAGGGCGGTGATTTCCCCCACAACCATCCAGCTGCAACCCATCTCTGGTAAACACCCATACACACTCATTCACCTACACACACACTCATACACTACGGCCAATTTAGTTGATCAACTCCCCTATAGCGCATGTGTATGGACTGGGAGGGGGAAACCGGAGCACCCGGTGGAACCCACGCCAACACGGGGAGAACATGCAAACTCCACACAGAAACACCAACTAACCCAGCCGAGACTCGAACCAGTGACCTTCTTGCTGTGAGGCGAGAGTGCTGGCCACTGTGCCGCTCCTATACGTTACAGATATATATTTGATATGTTGTTAAATATGTTATGTGTGTGTGTGTGTTTGCATGTGTGTGTTTGTGCTGTAGTGTTGTGTCGTCAGTGCAGGAGGTTTGTTTTCATCTGTTTTCACCTGCTGGTTTTGGCTGCGCCGCTGCTAAATTACCACACGCTTGACTCTGTGTGTGTGTGTGTGTGTGTGTGTGTGTGTGTGTGTGTGTTTGCATGTGTGTGTTTGTGCTGTAGTGTTGTGTCGTCAGTGCAGGAGGTTTGTTTTCATCTGTTTTCACCTGCTGGTTTTGGCTGCGCCGCTGCTAAATTACCACACGCTTGACTCTGTGTGTGTGTGTGTGTGTGTGTGTGTGTGTGTGTGTGTGTGTGTGTGTGTGAAGTGAAGCTGTGAATGAGTGGCTTCAGGCTGATCTGAGTTCACTGAGAGAGAAGAGCTGCACAAACATGCCTGCAAACCAGCGCCCTGCTGACGGGTTAACCTGACTGATTAAGCTTTGGGTTAGTTAACCTGACTGATAAAGTTTTGGGTTAGTTAACCTGACTGATAAAGTTTTGGGTTAGTTAACCTGACTGATGAATTTTTGGGTTAGTTAACCTGACTGATGAATTTTTGGGTTAGTTAACCTGACTGCTGAAGTTTTGGGTTAGTTAACCTGACTGCTGAAGTTTTGCGTTAGTTAACCTGACTGATGAAGTTTTGGGTTAGTTAAACTGACAGATGAAGTTTTGGGTTAGTTAACCTGACTGATTAAGTTTGGGTTAGTTAACCTGACTGATGAAGTTTTGGGTTAGTTAACCTGACTGATGAATTTTTGGGTTAGATAACCTGACTGATGAAGTTTTGGGTTAGTTAACCTGACTGATTAAGCTTTGGGTTAGTTAACCTGACTGATGAAGTTTTGGGTTAGTTAACCTGACTGATTAAGTTTGGGTTAGTTAACCTGACTGATGAAGTTTTGGGTTAGTTAACCTGACTGATGAATTTTTGGGTTAGATAACCTGACTGATGAAGTTTTGGGTTAGTTAACCTGACTGATTAAGCTTTGGGTTAGTTAACCTGACTGATGAAGTTTTGGGTGAGTTAACCTGACAGATGAAGTTTTGGGTTAGTTAAACTGACTGATGAAGTTTTGGGTTAGTTAAACTGACAGATGAAGTTTTGGGTTAGTTAAACTGACTGATGAAGTTTTGGGTTAGTTAACCTGACTGCTGAAGTTTTGGGTTAGTTAACCTGACTGATTAAGCTTTGGGTTAGTTAAACTGACAGATGAAGTTTTGGGTTAGTTAAACTGACTGATGAAGTTTTGGGTTAGTTAACCTGACTGATAAAGTTTTGGGTTAGTTAACCTGACTGATGAAGTTTTGGGTTAGTTAACCTGACTGATGAATTTTTGGGTTAGTTAACCTGACAGATGAAGTTTTGGGTTAGTTAAACTGACTGATGAAGTTTTGGGTTAGTTAAACTGACAGATGAAGTTTTGGGTTAGTTAAACTGACTGATGAAGTTTTGGGTTAGTTAACCTGACTGCTGAAGTTTTGGGTTAGTTAACCTGACTGATTAAGCTTTGGGTTAGTTAAACTGACAGATGAAGTTTTGGGTTAGTTAAACTGACTGATGAAGTTTTGGGTTAGTTAAACTGACAGATGAAGTTTTGGGTTAGTTAACCTGACAGATTAGGTTTTGGGTTAGTTAAACTGACTGATGAAGTTTTGGGTTAGTTAACCTGAGAGATTAAGTTTTGGGTTAGTTAAACTGACTGATGAAGTTTTGGGTTAGTTAAACTGACAGATGAAGTTTTGGGTTAGTTAAACTGACTGATTAAGCTTTGGGTTTGTTAAACTGACAGATGAAGCTTTGGGTTTGTTAAACTGACAGATGAAGTTTTGGGTTAGTTAACCTGACTGATTAAGCTTTGGGTTAGTTAACCTGACTGCTTTAGTTTTGGGTTAGTTAACCTGACTGCTGAAGTTTTGGGTTAGTTAACCTGACTGATTAAGCTTTGGGTTTGTTAAACTGACAGATGAAGTTTTGGGTTAATTAAACTGACAGATGAAGGTTTGGGTTAATTAAACTGACTGATGAAGGTTTGGGTTAGTTAACCTGACAGATGTCTCTAAACGGGTTAGTTACTGCTGGTTAGTTGAGCTGGTTAACTCTCACCTTTTGGCTGTTTTTGGAGATGAAGGCTTGAGTTTGTCAAATTCGTCCTTCTCCTGAAAGATCACCACGTTCTCTGCAAAGGCAAAGTTTGAACATCAGTGAAGATCATTAATCTCAGATCTGCCCACAATGATGTAAATAAACAGAAATATCCATACTGAACATATAATGGAAGCGATCAACTATTCAATCAAATCACAACCTTTCCATTTATGAATTCCTCTAATATCCCAGATTTGTGTAATTCTACAAATCAGACAGCTTTCTAATGGAATAAAAGTCAACGGTAACGCTTTAATAAATGCTCCATTAATTAATGCATTTACCAACATGAGCAAACAGTTAGTACTGCATTTATTGCATATTTGTTAATGTTATTGATGTAATGTTAGATAACTCATGGTGCATATACTAATGTTAACGCTGGATGTTAATAATGCATTAGTAAATGTTGAAGTATGATTAAGAAATGCATTAACTAACAAGACCTAATGGAGCATTATTGTAAAGTGTTAGCCAATCAGCATTCAGTGATGATCCTGCATGAGAGCAAACAGGAGATGAACGCTGTACTGTACACCAGCTTCTGTACAGCTCTAGACGAGTGTTGAGCGCAGATCAAACACTCATAATCACACTCTACATCCGCTCTGCTCAGCCTGTGATGCTCTCAAATCATCTGCCAAACGCATTAATGTGACTTCAGCTGAATTATAAACAGTCAAAATGAATGTGTGAATAAATGAGCAACTCAGATGATGAAAAATGCATTATGCATGCATAAAATGTCCAAATGTGTCTTTACTATAAGATTGTATTAGTTCATGTACAGTTGAAACCAGAAGTTTACACACGCTCTATAAAAAGGAACATAACCATTTTAAAAAAATGTCTGATGGTAAATCATACTAAATGTTTACTATTTTAGGTCCCCTTAGACTACCAAAATGATTTACATTTGCTACATTTGTTTAGGAATTATTTCTAAAATTCTTTAAAAAAAGTTGTTTTGTTAATTTCTAGACAGTCAGAAGTGTACACACATTTCCTTGGTATTTATTAGCTTTGCTTTTAAAACTGTATAACTTTGGTCAGATGTTTTTAGTCTCCTTCCACAAGCTTCTCACAATAGTTTGCAGGAGTTTTGGCTCGTTCCTCCTGCAGAATTGCTGTAACTGAGTCAGATTTGTAGGCTGTCTTGCTCGCACAAGCTTTTTCAGCTCCGCCCACACATTCTCTATAGGATTGAGATCAGGGCTTTGTGATGGCCACTCCAAAACATTCACTCTGCTGTCCTTAAAGCACATGTGAACTCATTTGGCAGTGTGCTTAGGGTCATGGTCTGTTTGGAAGAGCCATTTGTGGCCAAGTTGTAATCTCCTGGCTGATGTGTTGAGATGTTGCTTCAGTATTTCTCCATAATGTTCTGTCTTCATGATGCCATCTATGCTGTGAAGTGGACCAGTCCCTCCTGCAGCAAAACAACCCCACAACATGATGCTGCCGCCCCCATACTGCACAGTTGGGATGGTGTTCTAGGCTTGTGCGCTTTCTTCTTTGTCCTCCTAATGTAACACTGCTCATTATGGCCAAACAGTTCAATCTTAGCTCCATCAGAGCACAGGACATGTCTCCACACATAAGTCTTGTTCCCAGTGTCATTCAGCTAATGGTAATCTGGCTTTTCTAAGGTGTTTTTGGAGTAATGGCTTCTTCTCTGCTGAGAGGTCACTCAGCACATGTCAGTACAGGACTCTTTTCACTGGATGATGAATCTCTCTTACTCGCTGCAGCCAGCGTCTTCACAGCATCTTTCGCTTTTGTTCAGGGGTTAATACACACAGTTTGAGGAATTCTTCTCCTTCTTGAGCGCTATGATGGCTGGACATTCCCATCTTGTTTTTACTTGTGTATGATTGTTTGAACCGATGAACGTGGCACCTTCAGGCATCTAGAAATTGTACCCAAAGAAGAAACAGACTTGTGGATGTCTTGGCTGATTTCTTTTCATTTTCCCATGTTGTCACACAAGGAAGCAGAGAGTTTCAAGGTTTAGTTGTTATTCATTAGTTTTAGTTTCTATTTTGTTTTGACTTTTTGTTTTCAAATTCAGTCAGTTTTATTTAGTTTTAGAGGCAGATTTACTAATGATTATTAGTTTATATACTTTGAAATGATTTAGTTTTAGTTTAGTTTTTATTAGTTTCAGTTTTAGTTTGTTTTCTAAATGAGGATATTTGTTAGGTGCAGGATTCAAAATCAACAGGATAAATACTATATAATAAAAACTCAGCCATACATGTTTTAAAACCTGTATTTAGAGGAAACATGAACAGTATCATCTACCTCAACCATCTACCCATCCTCAAACTCAAATACAACAGCCCACAAGACAGCAGCCCTCAGTACAGTATGTGTGCAGGGCTGCTCTGAGGTTAGACACACAGTAGTGATGGGAAGTTCAGATCTTTAACGCGGATGTCAGGACTCATCATTATGTAGTCAGCAATAGTCATTTCAGTCAGTTAAAACATCAGCATGATCTGAAAAATGTCTTACAGTAAAGTTTTGCAGCCCAACTGAAGCAGGATTCACTTATTTAAACTCCATTATGATTGTCTGTTATGAAATAAACTTTCGTTTTTCTCCAGATCTTCTAATTAAGCCCTCAGTTTACCCGCGCTGCAGTTGTTCAAGTTTAGTTGAGTCACAGCTGGCTGTACTGTTTGTGTTTAATTTGCTGAATCACGCATGCGCAGTATTATCGGTTCACCGCTTCTCAAATTTGATCTCAGTGTAACGTTACTGTTCTAATAACTGAATAACTCAGTATATATTGGATATTTAGAGTCAGAGGGGGGTATTAGGCTTGTTATAAAGTAAATAGTGGATAAGTGCTTACTGGAGACGCGAATCGTTTCAAATGATTCAGTTCGATTTGGTGAACTTGTTCAACCGGTTCACTTAGATGATCCGGTTAAAAAGATTCGTTATTGATGGTGATACAAAAATAAACCCATTATTGGGCACAAATATGTTAAAGTAATAGTTTTAAGTCTCTGTATCTAATGCTGTCATCGTGCTGCTGTCATGTCCACTGGTTGTTTTTTTCGCAGGAGCAACAGCGAGGATGACTGGAGGAGAACCGGCTCGATCTGGCCAATTGCAGCAGGATTACAGACTCTGAGATGCCGTACGGGTCAAACACCTGCAGCGCGGATTATATTTACCTCTAAACGGCTTCCAGTAAGATTACATTAAATACATTTACAAAGACACTATAATTTTTAGTTAGTTAGTTTTAATTAGTAATTAGTTATTTTAGTTACAATACAGTTTCAGTTAGTTTTAGTTTCTTCATAAACTCGCTTTATTTTTATTTCAGTAAACGACAAATATTTTACATTGTAGTTTTGTTTTCGTTAACTATAATAACCTTGGTGTGTTTGAGGTTTGCCTTCAATACTATTGTGCCTCCAGTTAACTCAAATGTTGTCAATTAGCCAATCAGAACCTTCCAAAACCTCGACACCATCATCTGAGCTGTGTCAGAGGCAGAATAATCTCTCTCTCTCTCTCGTTATTCTGCTGTTAAGCAAATAGAATAGTAATCCTGACTTACCTAAAAGAGAAATAATCAAGTCCCATTAAACATCTGACATTTTTTTGACAACTGGTTATGTGCTTTTTTATACAGTGTATGTAAACTTCTGGCTTCAACTGTATTTATTAACAATGAACAACACCTCTCTGATTGTATTTATTGATGGTTATATTAATGTTCATCTAAATACAGTTAGTTCAATGTTTAACTCACAGTGCATTGATTAATGATGACTAGCCTGAATTTGGATTTTAATAATGCAGTAGATGTTGAAATGTGTTAACATTTCCTTGATGAAATATGTGTCCCGTGTTGCAGTGTTAGCATGATGTGCCAGCTTTAAGATGGGTTTAGATAGATTGTAAAAGCTTACTGTAGTTAATGATACATTTCAAAGGGCAGTTCACCCAAATTTTTTTAATTCACTCACTGTTTACTGTCCCTCAAGTGGTTTTAAACCTTTTTTAAGTTTCTTTCTTCTGTTGAACACTAAAGAAGGTATTTTGAAGAATGCTGGAAACCCTTGACTTCAATAGTAGGACAAATAAACACCATGAAAGTCAATGGTTACAGGGTTCTAATTATAAAGTGTCAGCTTTGGATAGAAATGTCCTGTGCCTGAGTGTGTGTCTGTGTGTGGGTTGTGTTTGTGTGTGTGAGTGTCTTAGTGTGTGTTTGTTGTGTCTGTGCATGTCTGAATGTGTGTGTGTGCTGGTCTGCATTGGATGACTGATGCTGGCGAGTGTATCTGTCCCCGCTGACCTGTATTTTCAAGTGTGTGTGTGTGTGTGTGTTTGTGTTTGTGTGTGTGTGTGTTTTGTGAACCTGAAGAGCATTCCAGAAGTGCAGGATGGAGAGACTGATCTTTCACTCACCCTGAGCCTCCTTCTTCTCCTCCTGCATGTTTGTCTGAGCTTCTACAGCTTTGATGAGCTGACCAGAACAGCAGACTGCAGGAGACACACACACACACACACACACACACACACACACTGGGTTACCATTAATGATTATTACAGAAGCACTGAGATTTTGCAGATGTGGAGGCGAAGCACACACACACTTTCAAACACACATGGACACATATTTAAACACACACTCCCTAACACACACTTCCACTCATACACACAAACATCCACACACTCATATTTACTCTCAAACACAAAGTCGCACATTTAAAATTCACACTTAAATACACAAATACACACATACTGGGTTACAATGATGTTCAGTACAACTGGAGCCAACAGAAACACACACACACACACACACACACACACACACACACACACACACACACACACACACACACACACACACACACACACACACACACACACACACACACACCGAATCAGACATGATAACACACACATACACACACACACATACACTAGGTGATGCTCAGCACACACACACACACATACACTAGGTGATGTTCAGCACAGCTGGAGCCAGCGCACACACACACACACACACACACACACACACACACACACACACACACACTGTGATATCTGAAGCGTTATCTGTATCTATTAAATGTAGCGCTGCTTCTGTATCTGGTAATGTTCTGCCGTGTGTTGTTGTGCTACTGTAGTCTCGAGTGTTCGTATTTCTGACCTGGTCCGCTCGGTTTGCTCTTCAGGATGTAGAACATGATGATCATCACTATAGCGATGGCCATGATGAAGATGGTTGACATGGCGATGATGAGGGCCGTTGCTAGGTGACCCTGTCCTGTTGGGTCTGAAGTACAATCAGAAAGTCAGTAAGCGAATCAGTACAGTCAGACAATAAACAGTTGTGTGTGTCTGAGATTGAGTACAGTCAGAGATTCAGTACAGTAGGAGATTCAGTACAGTAGGAGATTCAGTACAGTAGGAGATTCAGTACAGTAGGAGATTCCGTACAGTAGGAGATTTCGTACAGTAGGAGATTGAGTACAGTCAGAGATTCAGTACAATCAGAGATTGAGTACAGTCAGAGATTGAGTAAAGTAAGATATTCGGTACAGTCAGCGAATCAGTACAGTCAGACAATAAACAGTTGTGTGTGTCTGAGATTGAGTACAGTCAGAGATTCAGTACAGTCAGAGATTCAGTACAGTCAGATATTCAGTAAAGTCAGAGATTCAGTACAGTCAGATATTCGGTACAGTCAGCGAATCAGTACAGTCAGACAATAAACAGTTGTGTGTGTCTGAGATTGAGTACAGTCAGAGATTCAGTACAGTCAGAGATTCAGTACAGTCAGATATTCAGTAAAGTCAGAGATTCAGTACAGTCAGATATTCGGTACAGTCAGCGAATCAGTACAGTCAGACAATAAACAGTTGTGTGTGTCTGAGATTGAGTACAGTCAGAGATTCAGTACAGTCAGAGATTCAGTACAGTCAGATATTCAGTAAAGTCAGAGATTCAGTACAGTCAGATATTCGGTACAGTCAGCGAATCAGTACAGTCAGACAATAAACAGTTGTGTGTGTCTGAGATTGAGTACAGTCAGAGATTCAGTACAGTCAGAGATTCAGTACAGTCAGATATTCAGTAAAGTCAGAGATTCAGTACAGTCAGATATTCGGTACAGTCAGCGAATCAGTACAGTCAGACAATAAACAGTTGTGTGTGTCTGAGATTGAGTACAGTCAGAGATTCAGTACAGTCAGAGATTCAGTACAGTCAGATATTCAGTAAAGTCAGAGATTCAGTACAGTCAGATATTCGGTACAGTCAGCGAATCAGTACAGTCAGACTATAAACGGTTGCATTTGAACAGTGGTAAACAGTCAGATGATTAGTACAGTCAGAGATTCAGTTCAGTCAGACAAACCACAGTTGTAAACAGTCAGAGATTGAGTGAAGGAGATTCAGAAAAAGAGATTCACTACAGTAAGAGATTCTGTATAGTAGCAGATTCAGAACAGTAGTATATTCAGAAAAAGTAAGAGATTCAGTACAATCAGAGTTTTTGTAAAGTCAGAGATTTGGTCCAGTCTGAGAATCAGAACAGTCAGAGATTTGGCACAGTTGGAGGTTCAGTAGTCGGAGGTTCAGTAGTTGGAGGTTCAGTATAGTTAGACTTCAGTACAGTCTGAGATTTAGTCAAATTGGAGATTCAGTACAGTCAAAGGTTCAGTACAGTTTGAGATTCAGTAAAGTCAGAGGTTCAATACAGTCTGAGATTTAGTACAGTCTGATATTTAGTACTGTTGGAGATTCAGTACAGTCAGAGGTTTGGTACAGTCAGCGGTTCAGTACAGTCTGAGATTTAGTACAATCAGAGATTCAGTACAGTCAGATGTTTTGTACAGTCAGAGGAGCAGTACAGTCTGAGATTTAGTACAGTTTGAGATTCAGTACAGTCAGATATTCAGTGCACTATGAGATTTAGTGCAGTCGGATATTAAGTACAGTCAGAGGTTTGGTTCAGTCTGAGATTCAGTAAGTCAGAGATTCAGTGCAGTATGAGATTTAGTACAGCCGGATATTAAGTACAGTCAGAGGTTTGGTACAGTCTGAGATTCAGTACAGTTAGGTTCAGTACAGTCAGAGGTTCAGTACAGTCAGACATTCAGTACAGTCAGAGTTAAAGTAAGAGATTCAGTACAGTCAGAGGATTGGTATAGTCTGAGATTTAGTACAGGCGGAGGTTCAGTACAGTCAGAGTTTCAGTAAGAGTTAAAGTAAGAGATTTGGTACAGTCAGAGATTTGATACAGTTGAAGATTCAAAACAGTCAGAAATTTGGTACGGTCAGATTCAGTACACTCCATGATATAGTACAGTCGGAGATCCAGTACAGTCAGAGGTTTGGTACAGGCTGAGATTCAGCAAGTCAAAGATTCAGTACAGTCTGAAATTAAGTACAACCAGAGGTTCAGTACAGTCAGATATTCAGTACAGTTAAACTTGAGTACAGTCAGAGTATGTATAGAGATTAATATATTAATAGAAACATTAATATATTTAGAAAAATTAAGACAATTAGTACAGTCAGAAATTCTGTACTGTCAGAGATTCAGTAAAGTAAGAGATGTGGTACAGCTGGAGATTCCAAACAGTCAGAGTATCCCTGTAGTCAAATGGTCAGTACAGTCAGAGAATTAGTACAGTCAGAGGTTTGGTACAGTCTGAGATTCAGTACAGTTAGAGATTTAGTACAGTTGGATTTTCAGTACAGTCAGAGGTTTAGTGTTAGTTTACTCTCACCTTTCTCTGGCTGAGGGAATATAGTGGTGCTGCTGGAAGAAACACTGGGAGCTCGACCTGAGGCTGGCGGTGTGGACCTCATGCCTGAAAATAACATGGATCTGATGATGATGATAATAATGATGATGATGATGATGATGAAATTACATTAAGATGAGGAAGAGTCAGTCAGAGCTTCATGATACTCACTGGTGCTTCACTAGTTTAATACACATCTCAGTTCAGATGAGGCTCATGTACTGTAGCTGAAACTGCAGTAACACCTGATAATAATGAGGTGAACTAACTTTAATGGCTTTTAAAATATCTTGTTCATTTCATTTACCGAAGCATCTGTAAACTCAGGTTTTATCTGTTAGTTTTGATCAAAAGAGTTGTTAAAAGCCTCAATAACCACTGAAAGACGTGCCTTCCCTCTGCTGCTGATCATGGGTGAATGTGTTCCCTGAGGACGGGACTTTATTGTGCGCTGTTCAAGCTGAATGTGAAGGGTCTTTGTGTTCAGAAACACGTCTGCACCAGTCCTGCTCTTTTCAATGCCTCTTTAATTGTTTTCTATTGTGCGGTGACAGAAATTAAGTAGGTGGGAATGATATTTAATTAAAAACGGTAACAAACAGCCGCTTTAAAGCTGTAGATGTGAAAGTATGCAGCGGGCGAAGACATGCTCGCACTCGCCAGGTAATCTGCAAATTATGCTGCCCGCAGCGCACACTGCCGCGTCTAATAATTAAGAGTTTTGAGGGAATAAAAAGATTATTAACTTGCTGCTGCTTGCAGTTCACACACAGGAAAAGCCTGCGTCCGTCCGACAGACCTCACACATGAGCATTAGGGCTCTGTGATATTAAAAATAAACATTATGATATTTGATTTTTCTGCCATATTCTGAGAATACTTTCACTAGATTAAATGAATAACTCTATTAGGAAAGAATTAATCAAACTAGATAAGCTGGAATGATCTTGTAGAGCAGTGCATCTGCTTAAAATATAATAAACTGATCACAAGCATTGATGAATACAGTAGAGCAGAGACACACATGGTTTTCTGGAAGTCTGTCAGCATTCAGACACAAACAGTAATCAAATATAAAATAGTCCTCTATACAGTAGCACAGGTGTAGAACTCAATTCCTGGAGGGCCGCAGCTCTGCACAGTTTAGTTCCAACCCTAATTAAACACACCTGATCAAACTAATCGAGTCCTTCAGGCTTGTTTGAGACCTACAGGTAAGTGTGTTGGAGCAGGGTTGGAACTAAACAGTGCAGAGCTGCGGCCCTCTGCTGTATGGAGTATATTCACCATAGATGCACATACATACAATTCATTTTTCTTAAACTTAAAAACAACATTTTTATTTGTAAAGTGGTTTGAAATAGTCACACGGCCTGAAAACACATTCAGATGATAAACTAATAGTACATTTATACTTAAAATGTGTCTATGTTTAATGTTTTTGCAATATATATTGCGATATTAAGCATACTTTGGCTAAATTAAAGAACAAATGGCTCTGGAAATGACTCATAACTTTACATTAATTGTAAGGATTTTGTGCATTTGCGTAAAGTAAGATAAACCAATCACAAGCATTGATAAATACAGTATCGCAGTGGTCGTCAAACTGTGGTACGTGGGCTTTTTTTCTTGTGGTACGCGGAAGAATTGCTGAATAATAAAAGAATAAAATAAAATGAACACACTTTTAACCCTTTGACACGTACGATAACACCGATACTCATGTGATCAGATAGCATTGGCTGCTCCCTGAAGCGTACGATTACACCGCTGTGCTTAGAATGTTTACTGTGACAGAGTCACAGAGCTGCGTGGCGCTTGCAGAGCAGATACACACGCGCTAGAGAAGCCCTTCTGCAGACCAGTGCTGTTGTGTTGGCATTTCAGTTACTGCAAACGCTGCATCATTGCTAAAATAATTATTACACATGTGCTAAATGTGTGCTCGTAGTCGTGTAAAATAATGCATGTTTTCAATATATGAAGTTATTTGTTTTGTAATGCAGCGTGGCTTTCAGTTTAGTTAGCTCAGATTTAAGCTTATTAATTTGGGTGTGTTTCCCTCGGTTTCAGCTCGCATCTCAGCCTGCCTGTCAGACATTTCACACTGGATGAGAGATCATCATCTTCAGCTTAACCTCACGAAAACAGAAATGCTTGAAGTTTCTGCCAACCCGACTCTACACCATAACTTTTCAATCCAGATGGACGGGGCAACCATTACTGCATCCAAAATGTAAAAAGCCTTGGAGTAACGATTGATGACCAACTAAACTTCTCTGAGCACATCTCTAGAACTGCTCGATCTTGCAGATTCACACTCTACAACATCAGAAAGATCCGACCCTTCTTATCTGAACATGCAGCTCAACTCCTTGTTCAAGCTCTTGTTCTCTCCAGACTGGACTATTGCAACTCTCTACTAGCCGGGCTTCAGCTAACTCTATCAAGCCTCTTCAGCTGCTTCAGAACGCAGCAGCACGAGTGGTCTTTAATGAAGCTAAAAGAGCACATGTCACTCCGCTGCTCATCCGTTTGCACTGGCTGCCAGTTGCTGATCACACCAAATTCAAAGCTCTGATGTTTGCTTACAAAGCGACTTCTGGCTTTGCTCCTCCTTATCTGCTCTCACTTCTGCAGATGTATGTGCCCTCCAGAAACTTGCGTTCTGTGAATGAACGTCGCCTCGTGGTTCCATCCCAAAGAGGGAAGAAATCACTTTCCCGAACTCTCGCATTCAATCTGCCCAGTTGGTGGAATGAACTCCCTAACTGCATCAGAACGGCAGAGTCACTCGCTGTCTTCAAGAAACCACTAATAACTCAACTATTTAGTGTCCACTTCCCTTCCTGATCTGCAATTGCCTCTCTGGTTCTACCGCTAACTGTACTACAGAAAAATAAATAATTACTAATTTTCTGTTTCTTACACTTTACACACCTGAAACTCGCCTACAGCACTTCTTCATTGTTGCTCTTATAGTTGTGTAAATTGCTTCCTTGTCCTCATTTGTAAGTCGCTTTGGATAAAAGCATCTGCTAAATGACTAAATGTAAATGTAAAAGAGGCGAGACACAGAACATAGACTCAGACTTTACCTTACCTGAAGCTTAGAGGTAGATTGTAATTAAAGTTATTGTCCGTGTGCACAGACTAAGGGACGGCAAACTGTACCGCAGTCTGCTTGAAAACAGCTGTCAGTGCGCGTTTAACGCAAACTTCATGGTTCACTTAAGATGTGATCTCATTCGTACCAAATCATGGAAATACAAACGCAATCTCACAACAATTCGTAAATTTTTTATATAGTGGCTAATTCGCATGAATTCAGACGATCTAATTCGTACAATTTAGTACGATTTGCTCATCCCCCAATGACGGTTGGGTTTAGGGGTGGGGTTAGGTGCCCCGCCTCCTTTTTAAAATCGTACAATTTCCCACGACTGAACTCATAGGAATTTGTACAAATTAGCCACTGAACTGGCAAAACGTCAAATACTTCTCGTGAGATCAGGCTGGAAATACTGCACGTATGAATTAGTCAATCACTGTACACTGTATATGCATATAACCGCTCGCTTATCTGACACACAGGGCTACTGTAAATGACAAGCAGCAGAGCTAATCTCTTATTTAAATATGTAATTCCAAATCATACATTTACAATACAAGTTAATATTTAGATTTCAAATAATTACAAATGTCATGTGCCCATGCAACTTATATTTCAAAATGTATTAAAAAATTGTATGTATGTGTGTGTATATATATCTTTTTTTGTCTGCAAGCACAGTGAGTAATGTTCAAACTATTTATAATGTGTACATAATTATTATAATATTAAAGTGGCTGACAGTAATACATATTCCTAATAATAGTAATTAATCTGCCTGGTTTTTGAACTGTGCAGTGCTGTAGCTGCTTAATTAGGCCTACTACACTATTGTATTTCAGTACTGCTCATTATGGTGGTACTTGGTGAAAAAAGTTTGAGAACTGCTGCAGTAGAGCAAAGCTGCCCACACGGTCACCCAAGCCTTAAAAACAGCAGCAAATGATAAACTAGTTGGTCAGTTTATGGATAATGTGCAGTAATCCACTGGTCATGAATGTTGTGCTGTGTTTTCTGGTCAAATGTAATCCTGATTAAACACTGCAGACTCTGATGTGAGTATTGCGGATGCACACTCTGCGATATCAGTGCTGGAATGAGTTACGCTGCGTTCCATTCGGAAGGGCTCATCCCTACACCCTAATCCCTTCAAAGGGTTTGCGCTAGCTAGAGAGTGACAGCTTTAAAGGGATGATGGATGTAGGGATCAAACATTTTTTTAAATAATGAGACGATCAAGCAGGTTTCAGGAGGGGGAGGACTGACAATCGGAACGGCTCCATTGACTTTGTATTGCGGGAGGGTGCCAAAGATCTTGCTTTTTATTTTGCTTTAAGGTGATTTCACTTCCTCCGTTGTCAGATTATTTTGCTTCATTTTCACTCATTATTTCTGAAAACAAGACAATAGTTGTGCTTTAACTAGAACAGGCTTCTTGATTTAAGAATTTGTAGATATTTGGACTAAAAACAGGACAGAAACATTTTTACAATCCTTTACTCAGAAGGGCCCTTCAAAGTGGCCTGTTTTGAGCACTTTGGTTGGGAGCTGTGCTCTAATATGGCAGTCATGTTTGTTTTCTCACTGAAGAGGGCGATATGTCCCGTTTGGAACGCAGCGATATTGAGAATGTTCCTCTATGATGTTTTCCTGAAATCAGCCTCCGCTTTCTGCCAGATGAGGCTTCAGGTTTCCTCAAACACTCCTCCAGGCATTTATTTCACTTACGGTGTGTTTGACACTCGCAATGAGAAAGAAATAAGCAAAGACGTCAAACATATGAGAGCTCTGACAAACTGTTCCCTTTCACATCCGCAATCAATCAAACCAACAGTGGAGCTCAAAACCAGAGTCCGTCTGTCCTGCTTGAGCCTCGTATTAGATATTTACAGTCCACTCAAACTACACTCCATCACACCAATCTGAGGCTCAATCTGGAGGAAATGTTCTA